GGGACCACCAAGACTACCAAGACCACCTAGACCACGGAGACCACCAAGACCGGAGACCACCAAGACCACCAAGACCACCAAGGCCACGGCACCCCCAAGACACCAAGAGTAGACCGCCACAATCACCACCAAGACCACCGGGACCACCTAGACCACCAAGGCCACCGGAAGACCACGGGGACCACCAAGACTACCAAGGACACCTAGACCACGGAGACCACCAAGACCATTAAGGCCACCGTGAGAGCACCTCCAACACCCCACATAATAGATAGTGTTTTTGAGTTCAGTACCAAATAATTCGCCGCAAATATGTAGTTAAGCTGACCGTATATTTAAATCGTATATTGATTCCGTGTGTTTAAAGAATAGCCGCGCTGGCAAAAACCTTGCCGGAGGTAGTCAAAAATACCTGTTCACTTGCTTAAAAATCGTGCATTTTAAAAACGATACCGTACCAGAAGTTTGAGGGACCATATGAGGTCACCCAACCTCCAAGACGGTGTACAAGCGCCTGACAGTTTTGCTGGCTGCAAATGGGAAGATCACATACAAACTCCCAGAGCCAAGCTCAAACTTACCATGAGGCGGCTGCCGCGTTCTATGGCATCCGTACCCACGTCACCCAGAGCACAGAAGACTAACCAGCAATGACTCCTTAGGGCAAGAGAGGACACGTCCTCCAGTGATCTTCTGACTTCGATGGACTTCCATGGACTTTTGTTTGCCTTGTCTTGGGCGTTTTGGGCCGTGCAGTCTCTGTCAGGAGGTGCGATCACCTTTTGCTTGGCTGCCGTGGCATCATACTCAATTCTTCTCTGTGTCAATACCAACCTGTCTCGTCCATGTGGTCCATGCGTTTCAGTCTTTTTAGCCTTTTAATGACTATTGCCATCCCGTTGTTCTTTGCTTTGTTTTGCAAATATTGGGGAGAGATCCAGTGATGCACTGTGTGACAGGAAGGTCACCATTCAAAAGGCACCTAGTTCATGTAGGAGCGGTCCGGTACCGCTAACAAGGGATGTGCTGCCAGATTTTGGTGGGAGTATTCTTTTCCAATTTGATGAACTGGCCTGTTCTTTGGCAATTTGCACTTTTTGCCTGCCATTTTGGTGCCTCAGGAGTTGATTCGACCACAGGCTTCCCAGGTGAAGGACCTCTATGACATATTATTGTGCACCGCCAACATTGGTTCGATCCAGACTAGCCAGTGCGTCTGCAGGAAACTAGAGTCGGTAAGAACAATCATCGATCTGCTTCCTTTTTCATCAGGGATGCCGGTTTTGCACATGTCTTCGGAGATTTGCTCCCTGGTTTCATCAAATCCACGGATCCCACCCAGACCCCGTGTGGTGGGGAGGCTGTACTTAGCCCACCGTGTGCAATTCGACCTTTCTCCGAGAATGATGATGTGATAGGTCTTTTCAAGTGGCTTGCTTTTGCCTGGGTACAGGTCTCCCCCAAACATAGAGCTTTGATTTGTTCCGTCTACACAGCAACGGGGGCATCCCAAGACTCGAAGATGCACGAAGAGAATGATGCCCTTCTTTCTGACATTTCTGCTGTCATCGCTCAATTTGTATTAATATTCCGGCCATTGTTGCCGGCGACCTGCAAGCCAATCTGCTTGCCCTCTGTTTCTCAGGCCATCCACGGTCATGGTTGGGAAGACCCCTTGAATGTTGTTGACACGAACGGTGATTTTTCGAGACCTTTGACCTTTTCGAGGGACTCACTCTTTACCGGGCTCGGCGTTGCATGTTCTTCGATTGACGCCGTTCTTCTCAATCACACCGCTAGTCTGTGCTCTACATACTTGTGATGATCATTGAAACTTTTGGGAGACCAAGTGCATCTTTCAATAGGAAACGCTCTCGCCAGTTGGGTTCATCCATTTTAAGGCGGCTCAGTTTGACCTTAGTGGCATTCCTTCGGATTTAGTTCCACAATCCTCCCAAGGGTATAATGCCCCGGAACTGCTTCCACAGTTTGAGTCTACGCAAGACCCTGATGGTCGTTGTCCATGATCAACCAAGCTTGCACCCAAAGGCTTCTTGAAATCGGGGCCAAATGGGGTGAAGGTCCGAAGACGCGAGGTGCCGCCCCCCAATTCGTCTCGAAGAGGATCTGCCCTATTCACCACAGCTCACATTGTGCTGCAACTAAGCGCAGTTCTCGCCTGTTTCGATTGTTGCATCGGCTTGATGAATTATGGATTTGGCGTACTAGAGGTTTCAGGCCTGACCAAGATTGCTTCATTTTTCGTAGGTCTGTGACTGAAGTTATGGGCTTTCTCCCTTTGGATATGCCACTCCCTGGCCGCATGTTGATGAGATCACCTTGGCCTGGTTCATATTCAAACCACAAAGTCTTGGGTCCAAAGTGCAAATTCTTGAACGGCCAAGATCCAACAATCTGCAGAGCAGGGTTCCTGCTTCATCTTTAACCACCTCCGTAACAAGCTCCAAAATGAACCCTCCAACCTAGTCCTTGATGATCATGGCAACGTCCTTCACCAACCAGAGAAAGTGCCTCAACAATAAGTGGGACTCCGTGTTTGGGGCAAACACTCTCTGTGAGCATCGCTTGAAGATGCTTGAGACCATTTGGCCTTATGTGAAGGATCGTGCACTGGATGCCAACCTTCCCCCAATCACAGCCAAAGCTTTGGTTAGGGTTATTCACCGACGCAAAACGGATGCCGCCCCAGGCATGCATGGATGGATGGAAAACACGTGAACTCCAATCTCTCCCGATTGATGCCTTTGTTCCAATTGCTAAGTTTTTCCAGCGGGCCGAGGACTTCTTTGGGGATGACTTGCCGAGGATGCTAACATGCACCAAACAGATTAGTTTCCATACGCCGGGCCCTTCTCAACCATGAATAAGCGCCTGATTAGCTGATTTTAGCCTACATGTGACATGTGCACTGGAGCTTGGTACGAGCAGCTGCGAGATTGGCAAGCGGCTGTCATGCCGGAGTCTATCGTTGGTGGCATCAAGGGCAGAACTGCGCCACTTTTGCGCACGGCCGGCGCCCACATCACTAAGGTCCCCAAGCTCGCAGTTCAAAAGTTCCAGAGTGCAGTATAAGTCTTTTGGAGAGGCAGGCCGATCCAAAGATCCAAATGGCTGGTCATGCTTTTCCATGGGCAGCCGCACCGCATAGATCCGATGCTGGCGCATGCGTACAACTGCATAGTTGATCTGTTCAGATTCTGTTTCCATATCACAGCAGTGGTGGCTCGGCTTGAGAAACTTTGGCCAGACCGTTATCATATTAAGTTTTCACTAGTTCTTAAGAAGTTCGATGACGCTTGTCGGCTCTTCGGCCTCAAAGTTATAGTGACAGACTTGAGGTTACTTTTCGGTCTTCTCCACCTCTTAAGAGTGGAGAGTGTCCCCCACAAGCTGTTGCAATTGGGCTGCAACATCTGGCCAGACAGTTTGTCTATGAACAAGGCAATACCACCACCAGGAAGGACTTTTTCAAACCCAAGGGATTGCTGGATTTCCATGCCTCTATGCAGTTCCTGTGTAAGCCTACTTGCGAACCCCCCAAAGAACCCCCTGCCAGGGTACATTGTGAATCTGTCTTGGTGGGATGTACTCTAACTCGTGACAGACTCTTTGCAGCAGGCTGGTCGGATTCTCCGGATTGTAGAACTTGTGGGCTTGGAGCATCTTGTTTATCACTGTCGATCGTATCATGAAGCAGCTTTGGCGCCAGTGCTTCATGACTGGGGGAAAACTTTGCTTTGCTGGGATTGGTTTACAGCATGATTCAGCTGATACCCGTGATGCCGCCACTTTTCAGCCGAACTCACCTGTTCAGTGGACAGATGGGCCCCTTTTGTGGGCACCAAGTTTTTGGCTCACCACAGCCGCGTATGCTGTGGTAAATGGACAGGGGAATGCCCCCCATGTTGGCAGGGTTAAGAGATGTTTGTCGCAGTTACGTCGCAGAACTTTGGGCCGTTTGGGTTGCCTTTTCCAAATCGGCATGTCCGTTGGCGACTTTTTGCGACAAATCAGTTGTCCGGAACTTGCAGCACGTCATACATTTCAACCGGCCCAAGCCACATTGAAAGTGTGTTGATTGGTGGACGTCCATTGCCACACTGCTCATGTACCGGCAACGACATCACCCACGACCTCTGTCCATCCAGTGGATCCCTGCGCATTTGTTTGCAGGTTGTGAAGCCATGCTATTGACCCTGCGGCAGCCGCTCTTGCAGGGTCCACAGTTGAGCACTTTATGCGCAATCGTGATGCTGACCGCATTGATAGAATGTGCGTTGAGGATTTCACACATTGTTCCTCATATGCCTCACTTCTGTCGGTGGCATCTGCGCTTCATCAAGAATGGTTGGTCAAGCTTCATTACCAATTGGGCACACAGGAGGTTGGTGCACGAAGCAAATGAGGTACCCGACGCGCCTCAACTTTCCCTTGCCACGGCAAAGAAGAATTACCCCAAGTGGGAATGGGGTTCAATCTGTGCTCTTTACATTTGGGTTCCCAAGATTCCGCGAACTGTGTCGCTGCCAAAGCGTTGGAAGTATAGCCGAAGTCAGTGTGCAACGTAAGAATTCTTTAGCGTGTTACGCTGGAGGAAACAGAGAAACAGTGCGATTGCTTGATGCGAATTAGCAATTCTGTTTCATGCACTTGGCCATTAGAGTCGATGGAGATACCAACAGCTGACGATTCATTCGGTTGTTTGCATACTACGCCATGGTTTCCAATTTCTTTCAAAAGACCCTTGTACAGGTCACACCGGGTGAGTTCAGTGCCACGCGTGTCAAATCTGCGGGCAAAGTGTCGTCCCAAAGTGCAATCATTCACGCCACTCCTTTCATTGGAGATGTCTCCCTGCTGGCTGTCGCCAGAGCTTTACAATCTGGCCCGGGACGCACGATTGAGTTGTGGCGCATCCCCTTCCCTTATTGAGCTGGTGGCGATTTTTTGCATGCCCTTGTTTAGTTTGGGGTTCCTTGATGTGTTTAGACCCGTGTGTTTTGCACAAGTCGGACACTGTCTCACGGTGATTGTCCGATGCGAGAGATATATTTACAGTATGTATGCCGGCACCAACCAAAGGGTTTTTAGACCCCCCAATTTGGTTCAGCATTATCTCAACTACAGTAACTGCAGTAAGTGGTCTATAGGGAATTCGATCCATCCTTGCGCCGCTATGCGGCGAGCCATGAAAAGACACCATGTCTTCATCCTGTTGTTTCTGAAAAAATCTCCCAAGTGGATGGAAAACATTTTTCGCTACTTAGGGACCTCCACTCGCGTTTGCGAGATAAGCGAAGTGGCTCTTGGTCCAGTGTCTAGAAAGGTTTGCCCATGTTTGCCCCAAACCATCCCGGACGCTCCATCTATGGACTACATCCCTAGATTGTTACATGCGGTTGGTTTCAGGGGTGAATACTATAAAAATAAATACAATTATGCATAATATATACGGTCTTTAAACCGCTTGGTCATAGTACAATTGCAAATAAGGCCTTTGACATTGATTTTGCTCACTTTGGAGTACGGGTTCCTTTGGTACCCCCAAAGAGTTTCGTTTTTCGTGATCGTGCAGCCCAACACAGAACCCAGCACCCCATCGAATTCATGTCAGGAAGTCGCGGATTTTTTCTGGAAGACGTAGGCGCCACTCGAGCAGCAGGTCGTGGTGGGATGAAGATACATGGATTATCCAACCGAAGCTTTGTTGGAGAGTAGGTGATACACAATGATACACATACACACTTGACAACGATATGATTTCGAGATATCATGGTACAAAGTGGTAGATTGAGCCGGACATCCAAACATGTAACAAATATCCTCCTTGAACATCCAACAACCATTGATTTTAATTGAGTTTAGGTATTTTGCAGTTGAGTGCTGTTTATTTTTTCAAACAGCCTACTCGTAGTCGACTACGCTGCTACAGTGTAAGCACTCCGTTGGTGCTCTCCCAAACAGGAGCGTCACCGGTCCGCTTCTTCCCCCCAAAGGGCGCCGAAGCCGCCGGCTGAAACCGGGGTCGGGGTCGGTGTGTGAGGGTCGGGGTTCGTCGGCCACCGTGGTGAACTGGGGTGTGTGTGTCCCAAAGAAAACCTCCAAGTCCAAGAGATTGAAAAAGACACCCTCAAATTTAGAGAAAGGCCTGCAACCATCCACTGTTTTCAGGGATACCCAATGAAGAACTGAATGGAGGAGTCCTGATGAGCTCACGCAGAGCGTGTTTCAGCCTTGGTCCAAGCGAAGAGAGCTTCGTGCCATGGCGAAGGTGGGCTACGAACCTCTCGGTGTCTTGGTATTTCAAAACCGAAGGATGCCAACGGGGCAGGGGGAATTGCCCTGGTTGGTGTGGGAGACCCAAAGAACAGCCTCAGCTGCAGTAGTCTTTTTGTTGCTGTTGTTGCTTACCACCGGCGTTCCTTTCTCTAAAAAGAAGGAACGAGTGATTTAAGTTGAACATATCAGGGGGCATGTGACAATGATACTTTACACACTTAGGTTTGGTACCAGCAGAGATTCATTTCGTGCGCGTTTGGTCCTATTGCAGGATTCTCTTGGTTTCAGCACAAAAGCTAGACAACAAAACAGAATGTGTCATGGACGGGGCAGGACTTCTTGTCCATGTTTCAATTGTACCCGGCCGACACTAAGATGGCCCTGGGTTCCGCAACATCACCTTTTCCACCTGAAGCAACGAAATACACCAGTCGGTGATCGTCCCAGAACGGTACACCAGGCACTGGTATTTGCAACCCTTTCATCGGGTGCCTGTCCATCAAAGCTTGGAAGATGGACACAAAAAGGAGCTGTTGCAGATGGCCCTTTAGGCATTTTGGTGCTGATGCAAGTCTAATCCGATCCCCACCTTTCCACCCTTCCAGTTTCCTTTGTAGATCTCCAAAAAGTTCATAGAGTCCAAGGGTGATTTGGAAGGAACATACACACAACCTCAGATGTTTGCTCCCATTGCCTTCGTGAATCCGATTCGGAACTCTTTCACCTGAGGAAGCATCAAGGCCTGGGGTTCCAAGGGCTCTGGCTGTGAGCTCTTAGAGCAGCCAACGCCCAAACCCTCCGCTGGCAGCTGTGCAGGGGACTCAGAGCTGTGCTAGTCGGTCACAAGTTCCATGTGGCGAGTCCCAGCAGAAGACATGCAGGTGGTGAGACCTCCCGAACGGGTGTGTGCTTAGTATTCAGGTCTCGACCTCTCTTTAAGACTCGCTGGAAGAAGGACTGTTTGTTTTCGAAAAGCCATAAAGTTTGGAGGTCTCCCTAGCACAAACCATCTTCCTGAGCACATGAGCACATACTTGTTCAACTTCCACTTCCCTTAGATGAAATCCGAATCGATGCACCGTAGTTAAGCCCTTGGAACTGATCTGTCTTTGACCCGGCTCCAAGCCTCGAGCTGCTTGAGCTCAGTTTGACGTTGATGAGGTGGTTCGCGTGTCAGCAGTGGGGCTGAACCCCACCGACTGGAAGCACGTGGGCAATGGCATGCACCTTGTCGATGTGGCCAAGCGGATGGCGGTTGATGCAGGAGAAGAGCAGCTCCATAACTGGAGTGTTTGAATCACATCCTTTCCGTCGGCCGAAACAGGCTGGGACGCGGTTTTGGTCAACTCATTGTTTGGCAAAACATACAAAGTGTAACAACTATATGTACTTACCAGCAACAGAAGGTTGGTCTATAGCCCCCCTGACGGTGTATGTTCCATCGAACAACCACCCTGTCTCCTGGGTGGTGCATCAAAACAGGCGACACGGTCCAGTCGAAGGGTTTTTTCTTCGGTCGACCGGACCACCGCGGTGTGAACGACGTTTCATCCGAGCCAAGTGCCCCGCGGTTCGATCCGTTGGCTGAAAAAAAACAAAAAGAGGACCAAGAGACCCACCTGGAACCGGGCTTGGCATGGACCACACTGGAAGACCAGCTTCCTCCGGCTGCACCTCTAGTGGTGTTCTGTGAGTCTCTTCCAGGGCGTAGATCAATTTCTGAGGCCTGTGTATCTCCCTTACTGCTGTGGGTCACTTACTGTTCTTCTCTCTTGCACCGAAACCCGTCCACCGAGCACCGGCGGCCGGTCTCAGACTGCAGTCGGTCGCCGTCACCGGTCTTTTCTCGGTCGCGTCTTCGGACCAGTGCCCCAAGGCACTACTACACCATGACCAAGGCCACCCCAGAAAAGCCGGTGATCTTGGGCTCAGAAGGCTCCGGTGTGGTCGAGCAGACCAGCGAGGGCAGCAGCTTTCAGGTCGGACAGAAGGCGGGGAACGGGCGCTCCCCGGCGCGCCCCTTCCCAGTTGCGTCGCCGGGTGGGGCCAGGGTCTTTCTGAGTACTGTAATTGTCTAGTTTTCCAGCTAGAACCTTCAAACAGTGGAATAGTGTTGTGTGCGGAAGACATCACTTGGTTACCCACAGTAGTCTGTATGTACTCGTAGACTTGTTTTGGCTGTTGTTTTTCATTGGAGGAGCCGGATGAACTGAACGCCCTGCTGGCCAATGCCGGATGATAAATGGCTCAACAGAATACGAGATCATTCCCTTTTTGAAAGCTTCAGAGGCGTTCATGTGATCTCTCCGTACCTCACGGAACATGACACATGACCTTGTCTGAGGTGTTCTCGCTGACTGACTGAGACTCCGTACATGGGAGAGATCCGTTCCGAGTGATCCGGGCCCTCCCACTCGTGTTGGGAGAGACTCCGTCTATAACTCCTCGTGTTGGGAGAGACTCCGGCTCTCGAGCGACGCGTGAGCGACGCTGACGTTGGCCACCAGGTCTGGTTCATGGCCTTTAAGACTTGCTCCGAGACTTGGCCCTGACACCGCCCATGCCTGGGCAGTGGGAGAGCGTGGTGATGTGGACTGCGTGCTTGCGGTGAGAGGTTCCAGATTTAAGACATGAAATCACAAGTAGAGATGGACCAGACATTGATACAGTATTTACCTACCCATTTAACACCTGTTTAGGAAAGTTCAAGCATGTTTTTTTACATGGTTCATGGTTGATATTCCAGAATAGGATTTACTCAGGTTCTGTGTAATATTATTGCTTGGTTGATTTGTTGTTTCGATTATATGTGAAGTTGTGCAATGAGCAATAAGTAGCAAGAATCAACACGGATCTAACGAGAACAACAACACCAACAGTCCATAATTCTTGATGTTTGAAGTACAAACACATGACTCATGGCTGTAAAGTTCTTGTCGGTCAATCCGCTTGACTTGCCAATCAGTTGTGTCCACATGAATAGCTCGCCCCGATGTTAGCAATCAATCATAGTCGATTTGGTTGATACCCTTGCTGGTTTCTTGAGCACAATTCCCTCACTACCTGAATCTAAACAGCGTTATCAACTAGACTCAACCAGGTCAAAATGCGCAATTTGGCAATTTACGGGGAGATGGAGATCTAGTCTTTAGCGCGGACCTTGAGAGGGACAGATTTTTGGGGGGTTGACCCGTTGACCCATAGCCATAGCCATACGGTATAGTATATGGTGAATCAGGTGCTGATCAGTCACTATCCCAGGTAATTGGCAACGCTATCCGGGTCCCAAGTCTTTACAATTTTCCGAGGCGTTGCCACCTACCCACTGACCCAGAATATCACCATCTTTTAGGTATCTACCAAGTGCTCTTCATATCAACCAGGAACTGGTGGAGGTGAAGGATGACTGCATGGGATTGGCTCCAGAGCAGATGTCCATGGAAGAATCCGGTAGTACACCTTTAGCCTTGCTCACCGCCTATCAGAGCATGACTCTCGGGACACGAAGAGCGGTTCAGCGGAGACGACGATCGAAACGGAGGCGCTTCGATGAGTTACGAATCAAGTAAGGATCCCTCGGTTTGTTTGTGCCCCCCAAAGAAGGACGCGTTTTGATGCAGTGGTGCAACACACATATTACTGTATTAGAACCACACTACTATATATACAGTAAAATTACAGTAAACTTCCGAGACTTGGAAGGGTTAGGTGCCTGCTTTTCATGCTTGTTTTTGATGGACAAGACAATTTTCTTGGCCTCAGGAATTGGTTCTTTGCTTCAGGTCCTAGAAATCGAATCTACTTGTTGGCCAAAGCACCTAGACTGTTGGACAAGCTGCAGCTGAGACACGTGGAAGTCCCTTGGATGTTCCCCATTGATGCAGCTCGCGAAGAGTAGTTGTGGTCCTGAGATTGATGTGGAAGCCATTGGCGTGTTATGTACGGATTTGAGGTGTACCTACATCCTAGGCCTAGGCCGGGTGGATACTACAACATGGCACGTTTTAAGCGTGATATGCAATTTTACACATATCCTATTGCGGACGGGCACGCAGCCACTGGTCCAGCCATTGCACGATCAAGAAGGGACTTGTGTGATGGATCCAGACGTTGAACTAGCAGATCTAGATGTCATAAATTGAGACAACACAAGTGGCTGTCGCTGTAGTTCTGTACAAGCTTTTTCCCAAACTTCAGGGGATTTTCATTTGCTTTCTCCATGGGACAGCTGTTTGATAGCCAAATCTCCGTCTCGCTATATCTCTTCTTTTTACTTCATTTTTGAATTTGCTTACATGCCATTCACGGCATGTCACATGTCTTAGCTAAGCTGATTCCGTCGGCCTAGCCCCGCCCAGGAAGGAC